CAAACCCCAAACCCCAAACCCCAAACCCCAAACCCCAAACCCTACACCCTAACCCCAAACCGTAAAACCTGATCCCTGAACCCTAACCCCCACACTGCCAACCCCAAACTCTAGACCCCAGACCCTAATCCATCAACCCCAAACCCCGAACCCTAAACCCTAAACCCTTCAACCCAAACCCTAAACCCTAAACCCCAAACCCTAAACCTTAAACCCTAAACCTTAAACCCCAAACCTCAAACCCTAAACTTTTACTGCGTAGCTCTACAGCGTCTGAATCACGTGTTGTCGCGGGGGCAGGGCATGGCGGAGCACGACGGGGCAGGGAGGGGGGGGGCGAGGCTCTCTAGTTTCCAATTGATGGACGCGCAGTTTCTTGGGTTGGAGGAAGAAGTGAGGCGCGAAGACGCGCGGCGTGCCCTTCTCACCCCACAGGAACTTGAGGAGGAGCGTGCTTGTGAAATGGGGACGCTTGCTCGTGGAGAGTTCCTCTTCCTGACTTACGACAACGGTTATGCTCCGATACACTGGAACTTAGTGTGTCAGGAAGAGGGGGACTCCGGGGATACAACCCCGTGTAGGATCACCAGAGCTTATATCGGGCTTGTATCTCCTTATCCCTCAAGTGGCCAGGCAGTCAAATCTGACTGCCAAGAGGTCCGGGGCAGGTCCTAGGGCCCTACGGTAGGGCGTATGAGCCTACTGACCACTTAAGGGGTAGTGGACGTGACGGGCTTATATCTCTTATAGTGGACGTGACTGTGTCAAGTCACTTCGGTCATCCTACACGGGGTTGTATCCCCAGAGGGACAAGCTTCCTCCGCTTGAGGAGGTGGAAGAGGGGGACGAGCCTCCTCCGCTTGAGGACCGGCCGCCCGAGGACCTTCCGGGCGGTTCGTGTGAGCCTCGGTCGGACAGGTGATGAGCCTCGGTCGGACAGGTGACGAGCCTCGGTGGTTGACTAATGCCGGGGCTTGAGGACAAGTTGCACGAGTACAGTACAGGTGTATTGTGTACTATCTCACCTGCAACCACTGTACTCGCTCTCCTCCCCTCGCTCCCCTACCCTGTCACCTCCCCGTGCCCCTCTCGGGGATTCATGCAGGGGAGAGGATCATGTTCTCACACGGAAGAGGTGACATTCTCAGGGATAAGGTAGGCACAGGCGGCTACCTTTGTGAGCCTCGGTCGGACAGGTGACGAGCCTCGGAGGTTGACTAATGAAGGTATCTCTCCTCCCAAGAGGGGGTTCAACCTTTCTCATTCCGTTGATCACAATGTACGCCCATCTCGTGTGTGGTCTTTGAGCATGTTCGGCATGCGATGTAGGGTTTGGGGACAAGAACCCCACCCCCTGGTTTGAACTAACACGCTCGGGACCATGGCTCCTGCGTCTGATGTCTTATTCGTAGATAGTTGACTGAACTGGTTCAACATGTTGCTGGCCTCAAGCGAACAACACGTTCAGAGCTGTTTCCAAACGTAAGATGGATCGAGATGTTGGTGAGTTACGGTCTGCGGGGTCCTTGGGGAGTACTGAAACACTCAATTCACACCCCATCGAGGGAAATCGCCCAAAGGATCAAATCAGAGCCCCCGGAGGTATTTTTGGCCGTTGGACCCCCCAATATTATTCCTGATCCACGTTCAATGGACCCGTATTTACGCGATTCAGGTCTAATGTAGGTGGGGTCTGCCCGCAAGAATGACCCAGGAGACCATTTTTGATCTACAATTTCGATA